GACATACTTTATTGAGATCTGAGTAATCAATACACATGCGCCAACTACCATCATGTTTCTTCACCATTACTAGGTTGGCGATCCATGTGGGGAAAGTCGCTTCCCTAAGGATTTCGGTGCTGGTCAATTTTCCCACTTCTATGTTGATTGCCTTTTTTCGGTCTCCTCCTTGGACTCGCTTCTTCTTCTTTATTTCCTTAGATCTTTGGTTTATCATTAGCTTGTGTTCAATGATTCCTTGGTCGACCCCCACCATGTTTGTGGGCGTCCAGGCGAACACATGTTTATACTTCTGCAATAGTTGAACCAACGCTTGCCTCGTTTTTGCAGGGAGAGTCGTTTCCATGTTCACTCGCTTGTTTCAGTATTCCTTGTTAATTACCTCCCCCCCATTTGACGAGTTTAGCCTTGGTCTCTTGGCTTCAGGTGAGATGTCACTTGGCTGCATGATCTCGTAGCATTTGAGCTCTTTTCGGAGAGTGGCTAGGATTGTCCCTGGTCCCTGGCTTGTGCTCAATTTCACTATCCCATGGATTGTTGATGAGATTGCTCCGAACTTTAGTAGGGTCGTCCATCCCAATATGACATTGTGTTCAGACGGATGTCGTATAACCACAAAATCCACCAGGGCGGTCCGTTGCTTGGTTTTGTCTTGGCTGGTTAATGTAAACGGTAAGTGAATCGTACCTAAGGGTCACAAGCTGTGTCCAGTGAATCCTATGATTTTGCCTGCGGCTGGCCTCGGGCCTTCCTTCCACGCGTTCGATAGCAGCTGGAAACAATGCTCATAGATGATTTGTGCAGAACTTCCCTTGTCGACGAGTACTCAATGAATGATCACATCTCGAATGGATCCTTGGATGACTAGGGGTTGTCCCCGCTCCAGCTTATTGGGCTTGGGTCATTTATGGAGAAAGTCAACCCATGCATTGCTTCTGTGATGCTTTGTGTGTCCGATGTGCGTTCTGCTCTCCCTCGTTTGTGGTGGATCGCAAGGATTTCAAACCTACGATCTGCCCTTCTAGCGACACCTTTGCGGTTTCCTTCATCAAATTTGGATCATAGGCTCTTGGCAATTTCTATCACGTTTCCTTTTAGTTGATTTTCCTCAATTTCCCTCTTTAGAACTGAACAGTTGATTGTGTCATGTGTCCTGCTCTTTTGGTATTCACAATACCACATCTTAGTGCCTTTTTTCGCTGGTTTCTCATCGATCGTGTAGACTTCTGCTCGTCTTCCCCGCCTCTCAACTTAATGAAAGGTCTGAAATGCCCCTGTGACCATCAATCTCGCCCCATGAATCTGCCACCCCCCCCCCCCGAGGATCGTGATGGGGAGTAGGGTGGTGGCTTCGTTTTCCAGCGAAGGATGTTATGGCATTAAGATATGCATGCTTCGACGCTTCGCCTTATTCTTGGCATGGGAATCGTTCCACTCGCACCTTTAGTTCCGCTCTTGTTTAGGGTTGCTTGCCTATGAGTTTCTGGGACAGCGGCCCTGGTAACAATCCCCAGGTGAATGGTCCCGCGATCAACCCCTCATCGTGCCCTGGGACGTCTAGCGTTGCTTTGGTGAACCTGGAGAAATAGTCCTTTACTGTCTCCCCCTCTCGTTGTTTGCACCCAATTATCGAGTGGTAATCACCCTTGTACTTCCGTAGTTGCATGAAGTTAGTTAGAAAAAGGTACTTCAGTTGGCTAAAGTTGCTGATGCTGCCTGGGCGCAGTGTCTTAAACCATGTCCCTGCGTTGCCGTCTAAGGTAGTGGGGATGTATGTGCACCAGAACCGTTCGTCTAGCTTGAGGGACATCATGCTCCATTCGTATGTATCCATGTGGCTATCTGTTTCGGTAGTGCCATCGTATGTTTTAAGGTGGGGCAGTTTGGCGGTGTTATGGATTTTGCATTCCAAGAGTTCTTTGACGAACGACAATGTGACACTTCGTGATAAGCAATCTTGGTTTGGGGTCCGCTGAGTGAAGTGATACCTTGGATGTTTCATTGCCAAAAATGGTTGTACTAACATGTTGCTATAGGCTGTGAGGTTTGGCGTTACTGAGCCGTAGAAGTTTGACGGCTGAAATGGAGCAGGGAAAGTGTGGGACATGGGTATTTGTTGTTGGGTCATGGGTATTTGCTATTGGGCCATAAGTATTTGTTGTTGGTCTATGGGTATTTGCTGTTGGGCCATAGGTATTTGCTGTTGGGCCATGGGTATTTGTCGGTAAAGCACGAGTGGTGATGTTGACGCAGTGCCCATGTGACATCCCCCTTTTTCACGGTCAGAAAAGGCTGATTTTGCTTATGCTTTATAAAAATTAGAGTACTTCTTTTAATAAAAATGTTGCGGAATTTGTTCCCAGAAGAATATGATAAATAAATTATCAAAGCATTTCCGAAGAAATGTATTTTTATTTAAAACATTTGGGATGTTATCGTCAATACAGAAACATAAGCATAAACAGAACTTACATTCATTTTCACTAGTGATTTATATCCCCTTAATCTCTCAGTGTAATGTAACTTCATATCGACACCTGTGATATAAATAAGCTTTAGTGGGTCAGGTTGGGAAACCTGGTGAGTACATATGGATTTCAATCCCACAATGTTATATCATATATATAACTTAGAACTCACAAAATATACAATTTCACCATATATATATATATATATATATATATATATATATATATATATATATAAAAGTAACTCTTACCCCACCCCGTTAATCCTCACAACGAGATTGTCCGTATTCTCGAACCTTAAATTTTACCTTTTACTTAGTCCATACTCTCGGATCTAATCCATGCTCTCGGATCAATAATTGCGCCCATTCCATACTCTCAGATTAGGGACAAGTGTCTATGTGTAAATCCATACTCTCGGATTAATGACGAATAATTATGTCCTATCCATACTCCCGGACTAAGGACAACTGACTATGTCTTAATCCATTCTCCCAGATTAATGACATTTGACCGTGTCCAATCCAAACTCTCGGACTAGGGACAGTGACTATGTCTAAACCATGCTCCTAGATCAATGACATATACTAAAGTTCTATTCTATGAGTATAACTCACTCGTACTCGTAAGAAGATACTACCCAATATTCCTCATAATTAATTTAGGTTTACTCTTTTTCCTAAATCATCATATATAATCAAGTATGTTCTTTAGCACGTATTTCAGGAAACATCAAATAACTCACACATAAACATATAGTTAATACATCAATCAATACTTATATTAAAATCATGTTCATGAAAGGGACTATGCACTCACTTGAAAAGGTGGTGACTCGGTACTCGGACGACACTTCGTTTACTTTAAACAACTCCTTTGACAGAACCTAGTATCATTATCACTAGAGTGTAATCTAATGCTCGATGAGACTAATTAATAGTCTAACTATTATTACTATTATATAAGTGTTAACACAATACTTTTCACCCACTATGTATAGACAAGGAGTAGACATGAAACAGCGGAGGGCAGGATCATTTTGGCATAAACCACTTCTAATCCAGCAACCCAAGCGGCCCTCCAAAACATATTCCCCGTACTGCGAGTGGTTAAAAATATATTATAATTACACTTATATAACTCATAATAATAGCCCAAATACTTACTATAAGGTCCTAATAACATTACTATATTGAAACATAAGATACACTAACGATAGGGTAGGTGTAGCTCACTTACATCTAGTTTTTCGCAAAACCGGGCTTCGCTGGAGTAGCATTCCCGAGCCGAAAGGCTCTTTCATTGGGGATTCGATAGCCTCGGGGTTTCCTTCGGGTGCTAGGGGGTTTACCTAGGCTTTGGGGGGGGGGGGGATTGGGGGCTTAGAGAGAGAAAGTAGAGAGAAAGTGAAGTTGGGAAGGGGTGAATAATGAGGGAACCTGGAACCTATATTTATAGGCTGGAATGCTGATCTACTCTTCGAGTTGGAGGTCCTACTCATCGAGTCCATGGCCAGGTGTCACCATCTGGAGGCTTGCCTTGGGGAAAAAGTCTTGCCCCATATTCAGCCACGTCACCCGATTTCGCATAGCATCCTGCTGACTTCTAAACCCCGTAACTTTCGTATACGCACTCCGTTTTCGACGTTCTTTATATACACACGTAGGTAAAAACAAGATCTAAAACTTTCATTTAGACTCCTTCGGTTAATTCTCGACCGATATTAAATTCAACAGTGGGAGGAGATTATATTATTAAACGTCCGCGTAAAATTCATAACTTCTACATACGGACTCCATTTTCGTCTGTCTTTTTATCGTTGATTTCCTATTAATTAGACTTTCAACTCTCATTTAGGCCGCATAGGCCAAAAACCGCTCGAATTAAAATTCAAATTTCGGGTTGTGCACTGCTATGCCAAATCTTAGAAAATTAATAACTTCCTCATACGAAGTCAGATTTGGGCGTTCTTTTTTTGTATGTTATCGATTTAACCTATACTAAAACTTTTTTTTTAGATCACTAAGGCCAAAAAGTGATTTATCAAAAATTAACTATTTACGTCTCCCGGTGTCGTGTAGGTTTTGCCGTAAAACTTCGACGGGCCATAACTTTTTCGTTATAACTCGGATTTCGACATTCTTTATATGTACAGAACCCTTGAGACATACTATAAAACTTGGTTAAGATTATTTATTCTAAATAATATTTTGTATAAAAGTCATTTTTGACCCCTATTATCTATAAATTGATTAGCCCGGATCTACTGGCTTTACATCGCACTATCAATGACGGGTGGTTCTGCGGTTGTGATGTAATGCTTGGGCCGATTATCGTGTTGTTCGTATGTAAGTTGTTCACGAAAGACGTTATAGATGTTGTTTGGGGGTTGCTAGAATCGGTGGTGTTAGGGAAGAATGGCGGCAAATGGGTACAATGTATTGGTTAGGCACACCGCTATATGGGAATGGTGGGGGTGTTGTGTAGGTCATGGTGTATGGTGATGTTTGACTCTGGGTTAAAACCGATTGCATGATTGCAGCAACAAAGGGTGGCGGGTCGTCTGGTGATGGTGCCATCATGGGATACTGTAGCGGGTCACCGGATGACGGTGCTGACTCAAGAAGTGGTGGCAGGTCACCAGATGATGGTGTTGGTTCAAGAGACAATGGCAGGCCACCGGATGATGGTGATGCTTTAAAAGATGGTGACGAGCCACCAGAGGATGACACTGTTTCAAGAGATGGTTGCGGTCCACCGGAGGATGGCGCTGTCGGAGTGCTGGCTGCTTCCAATGATGCCATCGGGTGTATCGGGCTATACGGTGGTTCCGATGGCTCACCCATCATCTTCTTCGTCATGCGTGGTTAGGTTGAAGGAGAAAAAGAAAAGGGGTTTACGTATCTATTGTCACACCCATAGATGGCACCTGATATTTGCATATTTAGTCTTATATTAAGTATAGATTTTTATCATTGATTAGCTAATTTATTGCATATCATGGACAAAAGATACTAAAAAGTGTTTGAATTGTGTTTTCAGTCCAAAAGCAAAGCTCGGGAGCAAAAGGAAGCATGAGAAGCGGTTGGAATCTATAAATACAGCTTTCCAAATCGACATAAAGAATTATGGAACCCTTGGGGAGAAGTACGCTGCGAATTACAGTCAGGAGAGGTCTGGAGAACGAAGATACAACCCTAAAAACAATCCCGAAGAAGATTTGAGGCAAATCTACATCATTATTACTTTAATCTATTGTTTTTCATTATGTTTAGACTTTTAGATTTCACTTTTATGCTGTTAATCACCTCAATCATGAGCTAAAACCTTTAAACTTATGTTTAGAGAGACAAAATTGATATTATGGATTGATTATATATGGTAGGATTGATTTAATATTGCTGATTTTGTTGATTCTAGCTTGTTAAAGAACCTTATGTGTGAATGATAACTACTTTTCTGTTAATAGGAAGATAATTAAGTTGCATGAACATCTCTTAATTGCTACCTCATATAATTTATGTGACCACTTCATTATATGGGTACGATTAGCGATTGTGAAACTAGAATTAATAGAAAAATAGTCAAATTCATGTGTGAGCTTGTGTGATGACCATCAACAAGAGGTTAACTAAAGGACCAAATTAGTTAGCTATTACAAGTCTAAAATAATCCGAATAAATAACCTAGTGAATCAAATTAAATTAGACAACTGGCCATTGTTTGAGTTAGTTTGTTCTCTAAGAATTAGTGCAGCGAACGTGAATCTAATTACTTGAATCGGTAGCCAATAAAAGAATTAATCCATTGCACTATTACCATAATATCAGCCATAAGATCAATTGAGTTAAACTAAACAAAAGTCCCCTTCGTCATTGAATTTAGTTGAATATTTGCTTTTCTAGTTTTTAGTTTAAGTATTTGTTAGTAAGTTTCTAGTCTTGTAAAACTAGAGAAACCCTTTTTTTATAATTTAAATTTAGATAAAATTAGTTTTTAGTTTTAATTTACCGTTCCCTGTGTTCGATACCCTACTTATTTAGCTTTACCATGATTGATAGGTCCACTGCCTTTGTGTGTTTGTTTTATAATTCAAAGTAGGTTTAAAACAAGTTGAGTTCACACACATCAAGTTTTTGGCGCCGTTGCCGGGGAACGGTTCTAAATAGTTAATTTTATTTGCTAATTCTTATCATTTTTTTTATTTGTTGATTAATTTTTTTATATAGTTTAATTTTTATTTATTATGTATTTTCCAAATCTCGATGATTTTGATGCTTTTCTTGAGGAAGTAGTGCAGGTAAATGAGTAAAAAGATGAGGACTATGACTCAGATGATGATTTGAAAAAATTTGATAGATAGTTAGATAACATCTTGCCTAACGATCAAGAACAATTTGAGTCACAAGAGCTAGATTTACAAGATGA